TTACTGAAAACTATTTGAAATTTTTGTTTTAATCATATCAATCAAATTTTAACTTGGAGTTTACTTATTTTAAATGATAAAATATATTAATTAATATAAAAATGATTCATTAAAAATTTGAACTCCAAGCCTTAATTCATGTTTTAGCTAATAAGTTTAATAACTCAGTTGAATTTTTATACAGTAAAATAATACCAATAATCAGTTTTTATTAAACAGTTTTTTTCAAAAAATTTCCAAATAATTTGAACGAAATTTTGATCAAACTATTACTTTTTGTTTATTTTTTAACATTAAAAATTTTATTTTAAAATTATTTTGTTTTCAAAATATATTTTTGTTGTTATTCTTTGTTGATGATAACAACAAATAACACCTTTGTATTTTATATACACGATAACAATTTGACTTTTTATATTTTTTCATTTTATTTAAAACTACAAAAAACAACTAAATAATAACAATGTTGTTTCATTTGTTGTTGTTTTTAACTTCGGTTTATTCATATGAAGATGATCAACCGGGTGTTAATAAGTTTCTGGATGAACAGCCTAGTGCTTCTGGCATTACAAATCCTTCATTTGAATCCGAAGATAGTGCAGTTACTATCCCATTACAAGATAATAACCGTCTTCTTATGATGGTTATTCAAGACCATGGAAATGATTGGATACGTGAAATATTGGATATTGGAACGAAATTGAGACGATACACCCTTTTAGATAAAGGCTTTTTAGACCCTTTTGTTGAAATTAATTTGGAACAAACACAATTCTTAGATATGTTTAATCCCATTTTTCAGAGGGGTAAAATGAGTTTGGAAAATATCAAAGAAATGTGTAGGATGCTATTGACTTGGATTAATCAAGATACACCAAGAACAAGACTTTGGACTTTAGTCGACAATTCAAAAAGAGCTATTACAGTTATTAACAATTCGGGTTTAAAAGAGGATGTCAAACAGAAACTTAAATACCCTTTAATTGTTCCACATTCTTATTTCCTTAAAATACTCAGACTTTTTAATTTGTTGAAAGCTCATCACGAATACCGTTCAGAACCATTGCTTCGAGAAACGATTCTAAAACTTGAAAAGTTCTGTGAATTTGTCGGAGGGTTGAATACTGATATCAAACTCAGATTACACACAAGTGAAAACAAAAGAAGGTTTGAAGAATCAAGATTCAGTCTTGAGAAGTACAGAGAAGCTGGAGACAAAAGACTTAATCATTAATAAATTGTTTTATTTTTATGTTTTTGTGTTATTATATTTTATATATTTTTTCCATAATTTTTTTTTATTTTTAGTTGTTGCCAAAT